GGGAGGGCCCAGAGAGATAGCTGGCTTAGGGCTAAAGACCTTACTCTGCAAGTGTGAGGACCTCAGTTCTGAACCTAGCACCCACCTAAAAGGCTGGGGGTAAAAAGCATGCACACATGCATGCACACATACGCACGTACACACACACACGCACACTAACACAAAAAGTAAATAAAATTTAAAAATGTAAAAAAATTTAAGGAAAAAACCTGAGCCAGATGCCAGGCAGAAACACAGAAATAACTAGAGAGTTCTCAAAGGTGATTCTTTAACTGCATTGCCTTTGGGGTGGGAACATCTGACACATGGGTCATAAAATGTTCTTTCATATGGAGAGCCGAAAATCTTCCATGCAATTCAGAGCTTATTTCTATTTAATGGGTTTTATTTTATTTTATTATTTCATTTGAGACAAGATTTCATTATGTATCCCCAGCTGGCCTTGCTATGTAGACTAGGCTGGCCCTGATTGCCTGCCACTGCCTCCTGAGTGCTGGAATTAATGCTTGTCACCACACCCTAACATTTTTTAATCAAATAACCAGTGTTTAATATAAGCAATGTTAGATTTTCTAGTGAATAATATCAAGAAATATGTTTTCTTTTTTAATTTTTAAAATTACACTATTTTGTGGGTGTATCTATATATGTTTGTATATGGGTACACACAGACCACAGTGTTTGTGTGGAGGTCAGAGAACAACTTGCAAGAATTTTTTCTCTTTCCACCATGTGGGTCCTGATGGATTGAACTCAGGTTGTCAGGCCTGTCAGCAAGCACCTTTTTCCATTTAGCCATCTTCCCAACCCTGTTGTTTTTCTGAGGCAGGGTCTCATGTAGTCTAGGCTAGCCTCAAACTCATGTATTGGAGGATGACCTTGAACTTCTGATCCTCTAGCCTCCACCCTCCTGAGAACTGGGATGACACCATGCCAGGTTTGTGTGGTACTGGGGATGGAACCCAGAGATTAATGAGTGCTTGGTAAGCACTCTACCAACTGAGCCACATCCTCAGCCCACCCAAGAAATCTGCTTTTTAAAGGACCACTAATTTTTTCCCCTGGTTTTCCTCTCTGGCTAGTCTATTGTTTGGGTTCTAGAAGCTTCTTAGGGTTGGGCTGAGAAGGATGCTATGCCATTTTGGACACCGACCAGGCCCGAGCCGTTTCCCTTTCCCTTGGAGCAGTTGAATTCTTTCAGAAATCCTGTTTTCTGCTGGGAAAGGAGCTTCCTGCCCTGCCCAGGCCTCCCTGACTGTGCCTCCCACAGGCTTGTTCATCCATTAGCTCAGAACCAGCCATGTGCTCCATGCCACCAGTGCCAGGGGCTACTTGAGCACACAGGCCTTACCAGACATGGTAGAAAATGTTGGTCCAAGGCCCAGCATGGTGACAAATGCCTTTAGTCCCAGCCTTTAGGAGGCAGATGCAGGTGGATCTCTGTGAGATGGAGGCCACCCTGGTCTACATAGTGAGCTCCAGGCCACCTGGGGCTTCATGAGACCCTGACTCAAAATAAACAAAAAAACATAGGTTCACCTGGCCTTATGCATAAGAATACAGATTCAGAGAGGTTATCCATTCATCCAGAGTCACACAGCCAAGTCTCAATTTGAGGCTAGGTCTCTCAGAAGCCATCCTCTATTATCACAGTCATCAAGAAGAAGCCATTAAAGGTAGGTTATACATCATCCCCAAGAAAAAGCTGACACTGGGCAGGGGTTCAGTGGGTAGAGCGCTGGCCTAGCATGCACAAAGCTCCAGGCTCCAGCCCTAGTACTACATAGCCCAAGCATGGTGAGGCACACCTATAATCCACAGGAGGATCAGAAGTTCAAGGTCATCTTTAGCTATGCAGTGAGTTTAAGGACAGCTGTGCTACATGACAACCTGTCTCAAAAAAGCAGAGGAGCAGTGGTTCTGGAGAGATGGCTGAGTGGTTAAGGGCACTGGCTGCTCTTGCCAAGGACCTAGATTCAGTTCCTAGCACCCACATGGAGGCTAACAACCATGTGTAACTCCAGTTCCAGGGGATCCGACACTCTCTTCTAGCCTTCAAGGGTAGTGCATGCACATGGTGCAATTACATATATGCAAGCAAAACACTCATACACATAAAATCAAAATAAATTACATTTAAAAATATTTTTATTTATTTTTATTTTTTGTGTACAAGTGTATTGCCTGCATGTATGAGAGTTTACCTGTGATGTGCAAAGCCGCGGGAGATCAGAAGAGGGCTTCAGATTCCCCCCGAACTGGAGTTAAGGACAGTTTGTAGCTGCCATGTGGGTGCTGCCATGCGGGTGCTGGGAAGGAGGGAAGGAGGGAAGGAAGGAAGGAAGTTCCACAGCAAACATTTATGCCAGGTGGTCTGCCTGGAGAAGGTGGATGTGTATGTGGTTGATGGAGCCATGTGGTCCTCCTTCACAGTAATTAAGCAAGCATGTAGTTTGATTGCTGTTCCTTCTACCTGGAGCACACTAGTCTCTAATCATCCCACCTCAGGCTGCACACATCCAGCCTTCTTCTCTTAAAATAGACCCTGGTGGTTCCTCCACACGTGTCCTGTCCTTTGCCTCACATCAAACCACCTATTTTCTTCTCCCTGTGGTCTAAAGATTTTCTGCCTGGTCCTGCCTATTTCCATAGTCAGGCTTCTGCTTGTGAGAGAATCCACAAATTCTTGGGGACCTGGGGAAGAGGGGGTGTGTGTCATAACAGAATGCACCAAGCCTTGGGTTCCAGTCACCTGCTGAGAATGTGCAAGAAAGGCCCGGCTTACTGAGGATGTGCAATACTTTCCGGGTTGGAAGGGGGGCGGTGAAGGCTCAAAGCCGTTGGAGCCCCAGCGCTGCTTTGTTTCGTTTTCTTGAGACAAGGTCTCACTTTATAGTCCCACCTGGCCTGGAACGCACAGAGATCTGCCTGCCTCTGCCTGCCTCCCGAGTGCTGGGACTAAAGGCATATGCCACCATGCCTGACATCTCTTTTTTTAATTTTAATTTTTTATTTTTTTGATCTTTTTGAGATAGGGTCTCCCTGTAGTCCCAGCTGTCCTGGAACTCACTATGTAGACCAGGCTGGCCTTGAACTCACAGAGATCCGCCTGCCTCTGCCTCCTGAGTGCTGGGGTTTAAGGCGTGCACCACCACGCCCCGATACCAGCACTTCTTAAGTGTGAAGTCTTGAGCTCCAGTCCCAGGGACTGATGAACTTGGGCGTGGCCCTGGAATCCATTTCCCGCCAGTGCTTTCTAAGCACGTGAAACACCATAGGTTGCAGTTCTGGCTTGACAGGAGCCAGGGTCCTAGATTTCGCGGTCACAGTTTACTGAGCATGCGCAAAGCCCGGGGTTCCTTCCCCAGCACCGCACACTACAAAACAAAACCCAGCCCCATCTTTTGGTGAAATTCAAGGCTGGTTAACTCATCCTTGTTCACTCCGCCCCATTCTTATTCCGAACAGACCACGCAGACCAAAGATTCGCCTGGGTGCTAAACACCCTACCCAGGCTCCCAGACTCCCACATCAGAGACAACTAGCCACACCCAAAAGTTGAACAGCAAGAACAGGCCCAGAGCTTGGGACTTGAGCCAAGGAGGCCCTATGGAGGTCTGGGCCTGGCAGCTTCCAGCAGCCACGGAGGTCCCTATCAGGCTAGGTCTGTTACCTTTCTTTAGGCTGGGCAGGGTGGGTCCTAGTCTCTCCCATCTGCCGACTGTTTGGTCTCCTAAACCCACAGTCCCTAGGGGCGAAGAAAGAAGCTCAGAGATAACCTCCTTGCTTTTCTCGTTTTTCTCGTTATTTTTGAACCGTTTCCGGCCCCCTCCTCAAGACTCTAGAGTCTGGCAGTTTCCAGGAAGTTCCTGTCACATTAGATGGGGGCTGGGGGAGGGAAGAGGACAACAGAGCCATGCCACTTGAGTCTTGGGCCAAATTAAACCCGAAATAGAGATGAGGAAGGAGACACAGAGTAGGACAGCCGGCCCGTGGGAACCCGGGGGTGGGCAAGCCGCATCCTGGACCCACTCACGGCGCGAAGTGGCTAAGGCGGTCCTCAGGGGCTCACGCTGCGGGCGGGAGAGGGGTGGCTCAGTCGCCTGGAAGCGCCCCCTGTCAAATGACAGGCACCTGCGACCAACTGTACAGGTTAGGGAAAGTTTCCGAATAGCTTTCTGCTTTTCCCTCGCTGGAGGCACCCTGGTTTCCGCCCTTCCCACAGGCTGATCCAGACCCCGCAGGCTCCCACACACCTAGGATACCAGTCTGTTCAGCCTTGCCTCAGTTTCCCATCTAGCCCGAAGCTTGAGAGCGCAGCTTTTGGATGCAAGGAACAGGGGATGTGGGGAGGTGGACGCCGAGGACAAAGGGGTCAGGAGAGCCGGGGGCTTTGGCAGAGGTTGGGACCCTGTTTTGTATCCCTCACCTCAGCCGTGATCACTGCACCTCCCCTCCCCCTCCCCCTCCATCTGAGTAGCCCAGATAACGGGACCTCCACGGGAGGAGCATGCGCCGTACGGCCCCGGCCCAACATCCAGGAGGAAGGTGTGTGATGGGGGGATGGATCTTGAGTCTCCCCGGGAGGCCACAGAAGGGGTTGCCCCAAGTTGGAGCAGGATGCTTGGGGCTGGATGCAGAGGCCCGAGGATGGAGGTTGGAGGGGATCCCTGACTTGCAGCCGCGGTGCTTTTGTTTTAAGGTGTCAAATGTACCCCTCCTCGAGATCTACCCCTTCCCAGTCACCTCAGGTCGCAGGTGACTCCTACCATAGGCTCCGTCCTTCCGATCGTCCTCCATGGTCACGCAGAGCAGGGAGGGGCGTCTCCAGCCAGCGCGACCCCAGCAAGGGGGTGGCCGGGAGACTCAGAGCCGCAGGTCCCGCCCCTCGCCCGGTCTAGCTCCGCCCCCAGGTACACCCGCCAATAGCAGCCCCGCTCCGGAGGGGGCGTGGTCTCTTGCGGCCCAGGCCCGGGAAGGGTGGGGCCGCAATTTTTTTTGCCCCTGTGGGAGACCGGTTTGGCATGTGCTCCGTGCTCCGATTGGATTCGCCCATCACCCACCCCTATTGAGCGCTGATTGTTGTGCCAGGAGATTGAAAAAAAGGTGGGGTTTTTTTTTTTTTTTTTTTGGTCTTTTTGAGACAGGGTCTCCCTGCAGCCCCAGCTGTCCTGGAACTCACTATGTAGACCAGGCTGGCCTTGAACTCACAGAGATCCACCTGCCTCTGCCTCCCAAGTGCTGGGATTAAAGGTGTGCTGGGTGTCAATTTTTTTTTTTTTTTCATGCATTTGAGAGATTGAGGACATCAATCAGGCGGGAATAAAAGCTTTGAGGCAGAATGTAAGGTGGTAAATACCAGCATGTGGCAGAGGCAGGCAGATCTCTGTGAGTTCGAGGCCAGCCTGGTCTACATAGTGAGTTCCGGGACAGCTGGGGCTACAGGGAGACCCTGTCTCAAAAAACCAAACTAGAAACAAAAAATAAGGTGGCAGGCAGGTGTGATGGTGGCACAAGCTTTAATCCTTTAATCCCAACACTTAGGAGGCAGAGGCGGGCATATATCTCTGTAAGTGTGAGATAAGGATGGAAAAAAGGGAGGGGAGGGGAGGGGAGAGGAGGGCAGAGGAGGGCAGGGGAGGGGAGAGGAGGGAATGACGTCAAGCCCAGTGTGGAGCAGCAACATGTACCTGTAACCCCAGCACAGGGGAGGTGGAGACAGGAGGATCCCTGGGGCTCCTTGGCTAGCCAGTCTAGCTGAACTGGTGAGCTCCCGATTCAGTGAGAGACTCTGCCTAAAAGTAAAGTAATAGGGGCTGGAGAGATGGCTCAGTGGTTAAGAACACTGGTTGTTCTTGCAGAAGACCCAGGTTCAAATCCCAGCACCCACATGACAGGTAACAACTGTCCGTAACTCCAGTCCCAGGAGATCTGACAGCCTCTTCTGCCCTCCGCCGGTATTGCACGACACCTCCTCAACATTGCACGACATGGGAGCACTCACATACATGGATACAATACACTCATACACATAAAATAAAAATAATAAATGAAATATTTTTTAAAAAAGAGCATTGGCTGTTCTTCCAGAAGACCCAAGTTCGAATCACAGAACCCAAAGTGGCTAAATGCATAACTCCAGTTCCAAGGGACTCTGATGCCCTCTCCTGGCCTCTACGGGCATTGCATAACACAGGTGCACCTACAAACATGCACAAAAATAAATAAATAAATAAATAAATAAATAAATAAATAAATAATTAAATTAAAGTGGAGAGGGCTGAGTAAATGGCTCAGCAGGTAAAGGTGCATGCCACCAAGCTTTGACAACCTGAGTTCAATTCCCAGGGCCCACATGGTGGAAGGAGAGAACTGATTCCCACACACATATGCCATGGCCCATGTGCCTACATACACACACATATAAATAAATGTAATAAAAATATTAAAAGAAATAAGATGTCGGGGCTGGAGAGATGGCTCAACAGGTAAGAGCTCTGACTGCTCTTGCAGAGGACCTGGGTTCGATTCCCAACACCCACATGGTTGTTAACAACCATCTGTAGCTCCAGTTCCAGGGGATCTGATGCCTTCTTCTGACCTCTGGGGGCACCGCACAACACGGGTGGACTTAAACACATGTGAATAATTGTGAAAGACATCTTTTCTTTTTGGTCTATTTTTGAGACAGGCTCTCCCAGTAGTCAGGGCTGGCCTGGATTTGCTATGAAGACCAGGCTGGCCTCTAATTCACAGAGATCCGCCTGCCTCTGCCTCCTGAGTGCTGGGATTAAAGACATGTGCTACCACACCTGGCTCTGAGAAAGACATTTTAAGTCAAACTTTTAACTGCCATGTGCACACAAGCACATGTACACACACATATATACCCAAAGTAGATCACTGACATTGCTCAGGTAATAAATACTAAAGCATCTATGAGATACTACTTCACACAATAGTCAAAACTAAATAAAGTGGAGGCTGAGGTAGGATGGTCATAACTCTCAGTCTAGCCTGAGCTATATAATGAGATCCATCCACAAAATGTTCGGTAGGGCTGGAGAAATGACTCAGCAATCAAGAGCATGGTCTGCTCTTGCAGAGGACCCAGGTTCCAGTCCCAGCACCCACATGGTGGCTCACAACCACCTATAACTCCAGTTCCAGGAGATCCATCACCATCTTCTGGCCTTTGCAGGTATTGCACACACGTACACACATGCAGATGAAACAGCTATACACATAAACATAAAATAAAAATAAATAAGCCGGGCATGGTGGCGCACGCCTTCAATCCCAGCACTCGGGAGGCAGAGGCAGGTGGATCTCTGAGTTCAAGGCCAGCCTGGTGTACATAGTGAGTTCCAGAACAGCTTGGACTACAAGGAGACCCTGTCTCAAAAAAGACAAAAATAAATAAATAAATAATAAATAAATAAATAAATAATTTTAAAAAGTTTTTATAGCCAGGCATAAAGGCACACTTGTGATCCCAGCACTTGGGAAGTGGAGGAAAGAGGACAGGTAGTTTAAGGCTGCCTGGGATACATCAGACCCTGTCTCAGGAAACAAAAACATTTTTTTCATTCTTCAATGGAAGGTATGAAATATTGAGATACGATTGAAAAATCAAAGTGTCATGCTGAATGGGACAATTTTTTTCCCCCATAAGGTTCTAGAACAGGGTTAGTAATGTTCAGCAGAATTCAGAACTGTTGTTGCCTTTTGAGGCAGTAGTGCCTTGTTGGGGAGCACATCCGGGTGACAGAAACAACTGTGGTTACACAGGTGGGTTCAGTGTGTGGGAACTTGACTTCTACGCTTTCTTCTTAGTACATGATACATTTTAAAATGGAAAATAAGGGCCAATAAGATGGCTCAGTGGGTAAAGGCGCTTGCCACCAAGTCTGATGACCTGATTTGGTCCCTAGCACATGTTAGGGAGAGAACAGACTCTTGCCAGTTTTCCTCTGACACCTACACACAGGTCTTAGCACACACAATGAAAAAAAAAGGTAAAAAAAATTTTTCAGTGGGGTTTGGAGAGATAGCTCAGTGTTAAAAGCACTGGCTCCTCCAACAGAGGAACTGGTTCAGTTACCAGCACCCACTTTACAGCTCCTGTAAGTCTAGTTCCATTCCAGTGATCTGAGGCCCTCTTCTGAGCTCTGCAGGTACTGCACACACATGGCACAAACTCACACACATGTGTACAAAATAAAAATAAGAAAATAGGGGCCAGGTACAAGCACCTTTAATTCTCAGCACTTAGGAGGCAGAGGCAGGTGAATCTCTGTTAGTTCAAGGCCAGCCTGGTCTACATCAAGTTCCAGGTCACCTGAGGCTGCAGGGAGACCCTGTCTCAAAAACAAATAAATAAACAACAATAAAAACAAGTAAATAGGGGCTCTGGGCTGGACAGATGGTTCAGCAATTAAGAGGGATTATTGCTCTTGCAAGGACCTAGGTTTGGTTCCAATTATCCATATCAGGTGACTCATAACCACTTGTAACTCCAATTTCAGATCAAATGTCCTCTGGCCTCAGAATACACATGAGGTACATATAACCTCACACAAGCACACACACATATACACATAAACAAAGATAATAAATTCTAAGTAAACAAAAGTGGCTTTTTAGACTAGAAAAAAGTTGAATTTTTCTTTTGTCTTTTTGAGACAGGGTCTTCCTGTAGCCTCAGGCCAGCCTGGAACTCACTATGTAGACCAGGCTGGCCTCAGACTCAAAGCTCTGCCTGCCTCTGCCTCCCAAGTGCTGGGATTAAAGGTGTGTACCTCCATGCCCGGAAATGTATGAAATGTTTATAGCAACTTTTCAGGGTGGAAAACAAGACTCAGAGAAATTAAGCAATTTCCCCACTGCCACACAGTAAGCATGGGGGCATAGTAGGATTTGAATCCCAGGAAGTCTGACCACACAGTAAGCATGGGGGCATAGCAGGATTTGAATCCCAGGAAGTCTGACCACACAATCCAAGGATTCCCCTCATCTCTTTAAATTTTTAATTGTTTTGATTTACTTATTTTATAAGTATTTTACCTGCATGTATGTAACTGCACCTGTGTCATGCAATGTCTACAGAGGCCAGAAGAGGGTATTGGGTCCCTGGAACTGGAGTTACAGATGATTGTTAGCTGCTGTTGGGAGCTGGGACCCAACAGAGCAGCCAGTTTAAGAGCAGCCAGTGCTCTTAAACACTGAGTTGTCACTCCAGCTCCCAAAGGGCACTTTAAAAATAAAAGATTTATTTGGGGGGGCTGGAGTGACAGTAAAGTGGTTAAAATCACTGGCTGCTCTTGCAGAGGACCTTGGTTCAATTCCCAGCACCCACACAGCAAATAACAACCACCTGTAACTCCAGTTCCAGGGCATTCAACGCCCTCTTCTGGCCTTTATGGGGATTGTACACACGTGTTGCACTTAAATGCATACGGTAAAACACTTATACACATAAATGTATATTTGTTGATATTTATATGTGTGTGCCTATTTATCTATATGTGCATCATGTGTGGGAAATGCTCATGGTGGTCAAAAGAGGGCGTTGGATCCCCTGGAACTGGAGTTACCGGTGGTTGTTAATGACCTTGTGGGTGCTGGGAACCAAACCCAGGTCCTCTGTAAGAGCATCCAGTGCTCTTTTTAGCTGCTGAACCATCTCTCCAACCCCTATTTTAGTTACAGGCAGTTGTGAGCTACCTGATGTGGATGCTAGGAATCAAAGTTGGATCCTCTGCAAGAGCACTGTGGGGCTCTTAACTGCCAAGCCATCTCTCCAGCTCCCACCTTGTATTTTTGAGACAGTCTCTCACCTAACCTGGAGCTTACGAATTTGGCTAGGCTGGCTTGCCACTGAGCTCTAGGAATCTACTTGTCTCTACCACACCTAGCCTGTCATATGGGTTCTGGGATTCAAACTCAGGTTCTCGTGCTTGTGCAGTCAACGCTTTACCCACTGAGCTATCTTCTTAGTCCCCCATCATAAAAAGTTTTAAAATAGGTGGGGGCAGGTAAGATGACTTAGCAGCTAAAGGTGCTTGCCACTTAGCCTTACAGGGATTTCGCTAGAGGGAGCCCTG